TTATAGAGTACTCCTGGGGTCTGGCGGGGGGGGGGGCAAAATTGAGCAGAAAAACGGCCCATTTTTCACTCATTTCTGCCTTCCCCAGCCCCCAAAAGCTCTCTGAAAGCCTTCTACAGGCTTTGCACGGCCATTTTAGTGAAGTGGTGGGGTTTCAGGAGGAAAAAAAAATACTGTATTCAGTGTGTACGATGCACCCAGATTTTCAGCCTTTTTTGAGGGAAAAGGGTGCATCTTATACTTCAAAAAATACTGGTATATAGAATTTTTTAAAAAGAAAATCATTGAATGAGAACACAAGTTGTGCATTCATACTGCTTTTAGCCTCGACAAAGCCCTTGCAATATAACGAGGAAGCTTCATCCTAGGGTTTTTTCAATGTGATGTAGTTTGGATGTAAATTAATATTTCTCTCCTTCCCTTTACAAAGGACATATTAAATAGCAGGAGTAGAAGATTCCCTAATACAAGGGTGGCAAGTGTAAAAATGTTGCTGAAACCCCAACTTGGAAGTAAAGATTTATCCAAGAGACTAGAATGAATCCCTTAGATCAAGTTCATAAGAACGCAGATAACTTGAAGAAGCTATAATCCAAAAACACCTCTACAAATATAAACAATGTTCCATCCCTTTGCCTTACACCTAATTTTTCTTCTTGCCCTCTATAACTGACCATTTATTTACCAATTTGGAGAAGACTCTCAATCTCTCCTCTATGTTGTAACCACACAGCTCACAATCATGTTATTCTCTGACTGTGGGAAATGTACAGCCCGATTCAAATGTTGCTCAGTCCCACCATAGTGAATAGAGCAATGTTTCTCAATCTCAGCAACTTTAAGATGGGTAAACTCCAATTTTCCTACCATGGATTTCCACATACTGGCTGGAGAATTCTGGGAGTTGAAAGTCCACCCAATTTAAAGTTGATGAGATTGAAAATCACTGAAGTAGGGGGATGGATGCAGAAAGGTGCTGCCATTCATAAAAATAGGCATCTTCTTCCTCTACCTCAGGTCTTCAAACTACTGACCGTGGGCCGGATACCACCCACCAAAGCAATTGATCTGGCCCTTGCTGGACCATGAAGTTGCCACAACCAAATTGCCCCGCCAATTGGAATAAGGCGAGAGCAGCTATCTCCTCGCTCGCACCTTCTCATCCAAGCTGCCGGGCATTGCTCCGGTTCTTTTTGCCACAGCCAGGCAGCCTTTTCTTCCAATTCTAGCTATGCCTTGGCACTCACAGCATTGGGAGCCCAGCACTGCTGTTCCCCACACTTCAACCAGCAGCCTCTGCTCGCATCAAGAAGCTGGTGGCCCGGCAAGAGGAGGCCAAAGATGCGTGCAAGATGACGTGCCACTTCCGGGTCAGTTTGGGGAGAGACCAGAGGGACAACTTGTCTGAAAGAACTATAGCAGAGCCTTGCAGCTTTTATCTGCCAGCTAGCCTTCAGGTAATGCTCCTCCTCCACCTCCTCCTTTCCCCTTCCCCTTTCCGCAGTGTCCTGTTTTTCCAAACACCTGGGCCAGGCAGCAATTCCCAGGGAGGCACTCCAACCAAGGAGGCTCAGACTGTATCCTGGCTTGCCAGGGAAGGCATGTGCACCGGCAAAAGAGACAAGCTTCAGTTGTTCATTCTGCTGCAACCCCGAATAATCAGCCTTGGCTGTGGCTTACAGGCGCTCTGTCCACCAGGAGGAAGAGAAGCAACAAAGCGCTGCCTCCCACTGGCCCTACATCCCCAGATTGAGCTTCAAGCAGAAGGGCTTGCTTTGGCCCTGGGCTGGAGCAGTGACGAGGCAATGGCAATGGCATGAAGGGAAGCTGCGCGATTGGAGGCCCAGCTGTCACAGCCTGCAATAAACTCTCCATCTTCGGCACCACCAGCATGATTGACCTGGCCACCCTGGCACAAGCCTTGAAGGGGGTGTTGGCTAAATTGGCCATGCCCACCCAGTCACATGATGACCTAGCCATGTGTACCCAATCACATGATGATCTAGCCACTCTATCCAGCCACATGATGATCTAGCCACACCTACCCAGCTGGTCCGACTCCACAACAGTCTGAGGGACCGTGTTTAAAAAGTTTGAGGACCCCTGATCTACCTGGAAGCAATTTGTTGAGATATAAAATTCCACCAGGTAAAAAAGTAAAAATTACCCTCCCCCAAGTCCTCCTTAAACGCTCTTCTACCCAGCCTCCCTTATGTGGAATTGAACTTACACAACTTATTCTTACACTGCCTGCCTTATGACGACTAGGTCACTCTCAGCTGATCTCTCATCAGTGCTTCTCATTGCATTAGCTTGTCACCATCTATGGTCACACATTAAAGTTTATCAAGCTAATTTATTTAACAAGATCTCCAAACATTCTCAGCATCTAAATTTAACAAAAGATTCCTGCAGGCTCCATTCAACATGTTTATAATTATATGCTGTGTGTGTGTGTGTGTGTGTGTGTGTGTGTGTGTGTGTGTGCGCGCGCACACACACACACACACACACACACACACACACATATATATATATATATATATATATATATATATGTATGTATTTCCTTAAATCCAATTTTCTCCAGAACTATCCCACATAATACAGCAAGACGGTAACATAAAGACCTTGCCTGAGTTCATTCAGCATGCTAAATAGTGGTTACTAAAACACAATTCCATAATTATGTAAGGTATTCTGATGAAATAAGTAAACCTCATTATGATTTATATGATGACCTAGTTCCCACAGCCTGCTACTTTGATTTCTAGAGAATGACTTCATTGGGGGATTCAATTTTTTTTACTACTGGTTCTGTGGCTGTGGCTTGATGGTATGGTGTGGTTTGTTGAGCATGACTTGGTGAGTGTGGCAGGGGAAGGATACTGTAAAATCTCCGTTCCCACCCCACTTCGGGGGAAGGATACTGCAAACTCCCCAATTCCTCTTGATCAGCTGGGACTCAGGAGGCAGTGAACAAATGGGGGCGGGGCCAGTCAGTAGTTCAGTTCTCTGAACTACTCAAAACCTCTGCTACCGGTTCTCCAGAACTGGTCAGAACCTGCTGACGATCACCTCTGAATCACATACTGCCAACCTTCTTTTTGGCTTAGTGTATTGTTTAGCATGAATATGTCTATATCAATAGACTCAAGGGAGTGGTACCCATCTCAATATAGCTACATTATAGAACAAATGAAAATTTGGAATCTGCAGGTCTTATTATTATTACAACTTTAAAGAGCCATCCTGGAATAACACAAAACTTCTCCCAAAGGTGCTTTTTCAAGAGACAGCTGGATTTTCTGGATTTTCTTTGAAGATGTTTCACTTCTCATCCAAAAAAAGTATTCAGCTCAGAGCTAAAGCTTGGATGAGAAGTGAAACATCTTCAAAGAAAATCCAGAAAATTCAGCTGTCTCTTGAAAAAGCACCTTGAAAGAGTTTAATCAGTTCTCAGAATGTCTGGCCCGAAATATCTGCCCATAGAAATTAGTTCTTTATCCCTGTAAGTTATATACAGTATGTACTTAACTTGGAATTACAATGTTTATTGTTAATGTACCCTTATGTTAAGGAGAGCTATTAGGAGACAAAAAACTTTTCACTGCAAATTATAAAGCAGTACTTTCATAGCTTAGTATTTTTTACAATATTTTTATACACAAATATTTTCTGAAAATTACAACTCCTACATCAATTACAAATTACTGAAAGGAAATTTGCAATCAGAGTTCTATGTACTCTGATTATTTCCTAGTATAAATATTACATAATTTAGTGTCCAATAAATTATAGCATTACAATTAGAATATACATGGTTGCTGAGATTATGCACCACAAAAAGAACACTCCACTATTAATTATTTTCCATACTTTAAGGTTAAATTCCTGAAACAGCAATTAGTTTCCAGAGTGGACCTTTGACAGCAATTAGTTTTAAATGACTCCGCCTTCTTATAATAAAAACAACCTGATGCAGGTTAATGTATTTTCTTAGGAAATTTAAATATTTCCCTGCCTAATCTATTTGAGAGAAATATCTCAATATTTCCTGAATAAAGATAATAAATCTGCAAATAAAACCTCTGTCCAGGAACAGTCTACTATATATGTCTTTGAAGGATCACTGCAAGAAAGAAGGCATAAAAACTTAATCATATTCAGTACATATTGGATGGATACAAAACTGAAATAACAAAGCAAGTTAAGAAATATAAATATCAGAGATATGTTTATGCATATGTTTTGAACAGATTCATTATAGTTTAAAGGGGTTTAGCTCAATTTTAATGAATTAATTTAGTCTCACCTTTTACATAGTTTCATTGTTAAATTTAAAAATGAAGATCTATAATTTTTTTACTCAGTTGATAATACAGAATAACTATTCTTTTTACTCTTGTCACCCTACTAAGTGAGAAAAGATTGCTCATGGTTCTTAAAATATGTTTCTATCTTTTGACTCAAGATCAAGTTCTTACACTTTTTTAATTTCAAGTTTCAAAACCAGAAAAAAACAGATCAAGTCATCCAGTTGTTCTCAGTGTCAATTCCTTCTGATTCCCATATTTTCCTGGAGTCTCAAAAAAAATGGAAATTATTATGCCATATGCTAAATATAAGGATTTGTATAAGAATAAGTTATTCAATTAGACATACGGTTTAAGTTTTAAAAAACTGTAAACAGTTCAAGAGAAAAACAAAATATCTTTTACATCATAAATGGATCAACCCTTAATCTGCTCAAACTCGGGAGTTACTTGGCTGACGGGGAAATGCACCCTGCAGCCGCTCAGAGGTCCTCTTGTATTCTAGGCTGACATACTTTGCTCCAAGACTGAGCTCCGACAAAGATGAAAAGATGCCAGAGATAAGCCCTAACTTTCATTAGCGCTGCATCTGAAGCCAGTAAAATAACTAGGAAAGGTCTCGTAAGGCGCGGCACGCCTTTTCCTCGCTCGGGGGCTACCCGGCTCGCCAGGCACTTTACTTACCCAATTTTTTGAACGTGCGGTGCCCCGAGGATTTGGTAGTTCCTCCATGATGAGGGGCAGAAAGCTGCTGGTGGTGGTGATAACTTTCCAAGCGGGACTTTTTCCATTTTCCGCAAAACATGGCTGAGTTTACTGGCTCCCCTATCCTCCGGTTTGGGGCTGAGGAAGCCCTTTTATCGTCTTGTAGCCCCACTTGCAGGGCAGCCTTACCCTCTAGATTGAAATTCTGCTTGTCCAGCCTCCTTTGTGACTCGCCGCTGCCGCGCGCAGATTGGAGAAGCAGAGCTTGTCAGGAATTCTCAAATTACAGCTGAGGCCAGAGGTTTAACTCTTTCCCGCCCTTCGGCTGTCTGCCTGGAGATTCGCTCCCCGATTCATAGCCTTCTTTAGCGGCTGGGAAGATAGATGGTGCGCGCCCCGACATCATTCCAAGGAATAGCCCTCTCGAATTTCGAGGAGCTTGGAGGGCAACTTCGGGGAAGAAGAAAAAAATAAACAATTTCTGGTTGATTTGCACCCTACTATAACATTTGCAATTTTTGTATTATATTTATAAAATGGGGTCGGGGGATTACTCCAGAAGTACTGTAAACTCAGGATGGGGCCTACTTACCCAGTTTCCACTTCAACGAACTTTCCTCTTCATAAAACAATATCCCTTCCATTGATGTGGAAAATAAGGCCATAGCACAGGCCTGGAAGAAAGGGAGCTGTGGTTTAAAAAGATGGCACTGTTTACAATAAAGAAAATATAGTTCATGGAGTAAAGTTTTCTTATTTGAGTGACACATTCGAAAAGACTCAGGTAGAACAAGGATTGGATTCCCACTACATATTAGACCAGTGTTTTTCAAACTTTATAACTTTAAGATGCATGGGTTTCCAATTTGAAAAATATTGCACCATTGTGTCTTGGAATATTGGCTGAAGGCAACCAATAAAATTAACTTGTGATACAATATGTTGGGCGACTATGTAAAATACAATAAATCATGCTTTATATATGCTAGGCAGCATGAATCCAACCACAGGTACGAAGAAATGACAAGAGAACTGCCACACTTGGCAACACCATACAGGGCAAAAATGAGGACTCCCAAATCAGAAAGCGCTATATATCCCTCCACCCAACACATGCACACTTCCCTCTAACTGAGTCACTTGAAGAGAGGTCCTATCCATTATTTCACCTTTTAAAAGGATAAAAATCCATTTCTTCCAGCACACTCTAAATGAATATAATCAGAAGAGGTTTCAGAGTTTTTTACTTGTACAAACTTCTACAACTTCCATCCAAATGCAGGGCAAACACATGAGGGATTCCATTTTTAAGGTTGACTCCAAGTACAGATGTTGAATTCCACTGAATCCAGCATACATCCAGTCAAAGGTAAGATTTTCATTCATGTACTTTGTCACACTCTATTTTACAAACGGATTTTGTCCATACAGAGAAGCAGCACCATCTTGAGGCCAAATGCATTTATCTCCCAGTTGTATCCCATGTTTATCTGGCTTTCAGAATGATTTATTATAATAGTCATGGAAAAACAAAGAATGAGAATTTTGGACATTTAGAAGGATGCAGACAATGAACACAGTTTTCAGTGTCAAATAAAAAATCACAAGACCAAATATTTAAATCAATAATATCAAAAAAGAGGAAAATAATAACATAAGAAGTTAAAATATATTTTACGAAGGTCAGAAAAAAATCATAGAAAAAGTAAACACAATTATCCAAAATAAATAATGTAAGAGTTCTAAGAGAGGGAAGTGTTATAAGAAAATGGATAATTGTGCTCATAACTGCTATGAAGAATATAGGAAGTCAATCCTTTTTTTTCTTTTCTTTTCTTCAACTTATATATATCCTGCCTTTATTATTTTTACAAATAACTCCAGGCGATAAAGAACACTTCTTTCTCCTACTATTTTTCCTCACAAAAACAACCCTGTGAGGTGAATTGGGTTGAGAAAGAGTGATTGGCCCAAAGTTACCCAGTTGGTTTTCATGGCTAAGATAGCATTTGAACTCACAGTGTCCTGCTGTTTAGCCCTGACCCCTAGACCAAACTGGCTCTTTTTGCTTTCTCTTTTTTTCTTTTTTCTTTCTTACTTTACATTAGTTTGCACTAGTTTTTAATCTTCTTTTTTAAAGTTTTCAATAAAAGTTACACTTAAAAAAAGAAAAATATTTCCCAATCCTTTACAAGTGGAATTATACAATGATAGAAATATTTGTATAAAAATAGTACTAAAGAGCCAGTTATAAAAAGAGATATAAAATGCAATAAATCAACTGTCATGTAGGAAAGCAGGCACAGATGAAATGCCACTTTGAGGCTTCACAAGAAGAAGCAATCTATGGATTAAAAACTCTATGTCAACAAATATGGAAGAAGGCTTCATCTGACTGGAAAATAATGTTATATATGTATGAATATATGTAGGGTATATCAAAAGTTTTCTTGTTCTTTTTCCAGTGAAAATGATATTGAACTCAATAATGTTCAAATATCATGAGTCAAATGAGTTAAAAAAAGTTTTTTTATTTAATGTAATTTATATAATAAACTGTCTACAAGACCTGATTTTTGGAGCACCTATATACAGCTATACCAACATAGCAGTATTTAAGAATATATCAATTTTTGCATTATTTCTTCACACAATAGAATAGTAGAATAGAATTCTTTATTGGCCAAGTGTGATTGGACACACAAGGAATTTGTCTTTGGTGTATGTGCTCTCAGTGTACATAAGGAAATAAAATACATTTATCAAGAGTAAAAAAATACAACACTTAGTGATAGTCAAGGTTACTAATAAGCTATCAAACTGTACTAGGAAACAAATAAAAACAATATAAGTTGAAATATACAAGCAATATGGTTATAGTCATAAGTGGGGAGAGATAGATATTAGGAAGAAAGAGAAGAATAATATTAATACAATCTTAGTAAATTATTGACAGTGTTGTGGGAATTAGTTTTTAAGCAGAGTGATGGCATTTGGGAAATGACATATATATATAAAATGCAATTCCAAATGCACAACACTGGATTTCAGAAAAGATTGAGAGGCACAAAATAAGACAGCTAATATAATATATATATTATTAATGAAAAGAGCAAAAGAGCATTTGCTTTTTTTGTTTTCTTTGACTATACAGGTCATGCCACTGCCACAATAAGAAACTTAATATGACAATATGTGCCAGAACATCTGTACAATAAACAATAAGTTATTGAATGGATAAACAAAGTGTTTCACAATAGGGAAGGAAATGAGACAACAATCCATACAGTATTGTTAATATTGCCTCTGTATTTAATTAGTATGAATATATTACATTGCAGGATATGAAGAAATTATATCAATTTAAAATCAGAAGTCACCCCAGTATACTTTTTTTATCATAACAGTATCCAATCAACACTTCTTCAACATCCATGCATTTTTTAACCACTGTTGTGGCATTTCCCACAATAGCACACCCCCTATTTATTTTTCTGACTATTTATTTGCACTTAATGTGAAATAGTAGATTTATATTTCAATTATTTGCCTGTGGAAGTAGTTATGAAATTTTTATTGCTTTCTAAGGAACATTCCAATAGCATCTAACATGCATGAGTCTTTTGCAAAATATTGTTTAGATTGCATAAAAATTTGTTTTTAGACAGTAAAAAAAAAAGAGGTTAAAGGGGTCTTGAAGAGGTTATATCATCTGCATACCTCAAATTATTTATGGTTTTTCCCCGGATCTTCACTCTCACATTAGACAGTTCCAGATCTAATTCCTGGAACTGTCTGTTTCTTAAACATACAGATTGAGCAAAAAAAGGTGCTCAAAAGGTGTGATTCTGAATAAATCTGTGTTACCATTAAGTCTTCTCACTGTTGCCTCCTGCTCTGTGTACAACGATGGGATGCATCTGATCAAGTGGGTTGGGACACCAACATCATGCAAAGCCATCCATAGTCTATTGTATTCTACATAGTCAAAAGCTTTTCTGTAATCAGTAAATCATATATTCAGATCCTTCTGATATTCATGAGTTTTTTCCATAATCCATCTACTCGCCGCACTCCTTTCTAATGCCAGCTGATGCATCTGTAATTCTTGATTGATGTTATTCTGTGGCCTCTGTTTAACAACTTTTAATATATTCTTGCTTGCATGAGAAATCAGTACAATCATGTGATAATTGGAGAAGTTTCTGCTATTGACTTTCTTTACTAATAGGATAAAAGATATCTTTCCCAGGCCTGATGCCCTAGTCCATATCTCTTGACACAGGGCAGTGATGATGTTAACTGGCACTCATCTTAATAAGGAGATGGCAGCTGGTGGCTTTCTATTCTCACATCCCTCACCACCATCACCATTGCTTCCATGCTGAGTTCCAGGCTGTTTGGCATTCTGAGAATTCAGCGGTGGCAGTAGTGGGAGGGCAGGCAGTGGGGAAGAGGTGTCAGGTGATGGCTTCTCTTGGGGAAGGTGAAAACGAGAAGATCCTAACAGCCACGTATTCCCCATCCACTCCCTGGCCACCCCTACCACCAAACTGTCCAAACTCTAAATGGCCCAGAGCTCAGCACAGAAGTAACAGTGGCAGCATGGGAAATGTGAGGATGGGATTTTGGGGGATAATACCTTTTTTCACTTTGCACAGTTTGAGCTTCATTTTAGCCACTAATAGCTGATGGACTGCGCTACAACCAACACCAGGAAAGTGTCTTAACTGAATCTTTCCAGTGTTCTTGTCATAAAATATAATCTATCTGATTTCAATATTGTCCATTTGGTGCTGTCCATGTGTTTAAACCGCACTTGTGTTGCATAAATCATGTGTTTATTATGCTGAGATGATTTTCCTGACAGTTGCACTAGGCGATCACCAGTTTCATTCTGTTCACCTAGCCTCAGAGATGGCATTCAGACAGTTCTGACAGGTTCTGGAGAATTGGTAGCAGAAATTTTGAGTAGTTGGGAGAAATAGGCTGGATCTGCCCCTGCTGCCTCCCAGTTGATCTTCTTTCATTGCCTTGAACAGGAGAACAGAGCTGGAAAGCAAGTTAGTAGGGTGGGAATGGGGTATTTGCAGAAATCTTCCCTCAGGAATGGAGATGGAATGGGGATTTTGCAGTATCCTTCCCGTGCCACGCCCACAAAGCCATGCCCACAAAGCCATGCCACGCCCACAGAACTGGCAGTAAAAAAAAATTAAATCCCACCACTGCCTAGCCCAGCCCAAACATTCCTACTATTCTTGCAACTTCTCCTTGGTTTAACTTTGCATTGAAATCACCCATAATATATATTTTAAAAATCCTTTGTTATTTGCTTGACAGCACATTGAAACTAATTATAAAAATGTTCTATTTCATCATCATCATCTGAGTCTACAGTTGGGGCGGAGATTTGTAGTAGGTTGGTATTGAGTGGCTTGCTTTGAATTTGGATATATATTATGCTATCACTGTGAACATATTTAGCCACTTGTTGCTTAAGCAGAATGAAACTCCTTTTCATTTGATATTATTACAATTTTGAGTTAATCCAGGGACATGTCTCTAACATTCCATGTTCCAATTTCATATAACTTTGTATAGTGTAGGCAACCTCCTTTGTCATGAGCACCATCCAGGGGTGGGTCTGGTTTGCTCATGTGCGTGCTGCGCGTGCATGCACAGTGCAATTAAAATTGTTCTGTGCATGCGCAGAACTGAAAAACAAGATGGCACTGCCCGGGAAACCAGTTCAGGGGCATAGCAGGCCTGGGTGACTGCCAGTTCCAGCGACCCAGGCCGCCAAACCACTACCAGTTCGGCTGAACCAGTCTGAATGGGTAGGAACCCACCACTGGCACCATCAGTTGATGGGCTTCCCAAAAGTTTTCTCCAACAACTTCATAAAAACCCTGACAACTAAAAGCTAACCCTTGCTCTTTTCCAGTAGCTTGAGAGCTACCACCCACCCTGGAAGGTCTGTTGGTTGTCCACATCTGAGTCATGTTGAGTTATTATCATAAAGTGTTCTAGTGATGTTTTTTACAGGATAATTCACCATTGCTTTCCCCAACCCTCCCCATTTATCCAGGCTTGGATACAGTTGATTAATCATACGGTCACATACAGTAGATTAATCTATCATATGTCTGGGCTAATAAAAGATGAAAAGTCATTTTAAATCATTTTAAAAACAAAAATACAATCAATAAAAAAAATAAAAAATGTTTTTAAAAACTGGCACTGAATAGTCCATGGGTTTCTGTTCCATGATTTCTGTGTTGTATCTTCAATGCATATCTTTCAAAGGCAATAAAATCAAAGCCAATACAGGGCAGTTTCTGGGCAACAGCTCACATGGTCTCTCTCTTGACTTTGTATCTTTTTTTAAGTATCCTCATTGATACTCTTGCCCAGTGGTGAGATTTTTTTTTTTACTACTGGTTCTGTGGGCGTGGCATGGTGGGTGTGGTGTGGCTTGGTGGGCATGGTTACTGCAAAATCCCCATTCCCTCCCAATCAGCTGGATCTCAGGAGGCAGGGAAAGATGGGGGCAAGGCTAGTCAGAGGTGGTATTTACTGGTTCTCCGAACTACTCAAAATTTCTGCTACCAGTTCTCCAGGACTGGTCAGAACCTGCTGAATTAGAACTCTTGCCCAGTTACTAGCCAAGGTGGCGCAGTGGTTAAATGCAGCACTGCAGGCTACTGCTAGATCAGCAGGTCAGCGGTTCAAATCTCACCGGCTCAGGGTTGACTCAGCCTTCCATCCTTCCGAGGTGGGTAAAATGAGGACCCAGATTGTTGGGGGCAATATGCTGACTCTCTGTAAACCGCTTAGAGAGGCCTGAAAGGCCTATGAAGCGGTATATAAGTCCACTGCTATTGCTATTGCTACTAATAAAGATACTACAGTCAAAAATTGTAATGCAGCTGCCATTGCAAGGTTGCAAACTACGAATGATAGAAAAAGGATACAGAACACTAGTCCTTCTCTGCCATTTAGTAGTCTTCTGAAATTTTACAGCCAAGATAAGGTGGCCCCAAAGTTCAATTGTTTCTATTTTATCCGACATAAAATACAAATAAAATCCTCAGTTATACATAATATACAAATCAAAAACCCCAAACTTTAACCTAAGACTGTCTACTGTTGACCTCATCCCATTCCTAAGAGGTCTGTAAGGGTGTGCATAAGCACGCAATTGTGCCTATTGTCCCTTCCCTACTGTCCCCATTTATTGGTACCCATTTCATTCATACTCATGTTTATTCTTATACCTATTATCTTGTAAACGATTGACAAACCAAATAAATAAAAATAAATAAATAAATAAGTTTGCTTAGTATTCAGCATAAGTTTACAATATATCCAACTTGGTAACGCTTCCACCATCCCTTTTTTGCTAAGCAAAATAAACTAATACGTTTCATTCAGATGAATAAATAAGATGAATAGTGATTCCATGTGATTTTTACACTCCTTGCTGTGGCCTTCAGGCTCTTCTTTTCAACTCACATTGATAAGTGCTGAAGAAACTCCGTACACCTTTATCTTAAAAGAAATTCACGAGGTTGGCAATTCCATAGTTTACAAGAAACATTCAGGAAACTACATCTGCTTGTGTGCATTTAGAATGAACCCAAGAGCTGATTTATTAAATGGAGAAAAAGAAGCTCTTTACCAGGAGGAGGAGCTGGTAGGCACATTTTACAGGTAAAGCTATGGAGGTGCGAAACAAAACACACGGCGAGGCACAAGATAATAAAGAGAGGTATGTAGCATCAAGACGGGGGAATCCGCTTCTGTTAATTGGCCGAGGTGAGAGGCGTAACCTTCTTGGCTGTGCAATGATTTGCTGAATCTCGCTTCACCGTGATACGGACGATTATGGGCGGGACTCAGAAGGTCAAAATTGAAACAGCTGCTACTGCAGTGAACAAGAAGTTGACAAACGCGATGTGCAGGCACAGAGGGAAGTGAGCACAGCAATTTGTGCAGCCGAGTACGAGGTAGGGCTGGTGAAGGGATATCCATGTCATAATTGTTGGAAGGAAAAAAAGGGGATCATCGCTGAGCAGCGGATTTAGGTTCACCTGACGGACATTAGATGCCGGCGATATAGTCCTTTCGGTAAGCCGACGTCCTTTCGGTAATAATCTTTGCGGCAGGAAGACGGAAGAAAGACGGAAGTAAAGCCCCGGGCTTCCACGTTGACCCAGAAACAAAGAAATCATCAAATGCAATTACAGAACGGGACTGCAGGCCTGCCGATACTCAAGGATCAGAAGTGGGCGGTGGGAATTTGCGATCAGGATTCACATAGGAATGCTTAGGTTTTAAAATGCAGGCAGAGGCATTATCTGAAATTATCATAGGAATAACAAACCAGTTGCTAAATAAATTGGCATTTGGGAAGGATGGATTTAGGAAATCAGATTCTTGTTTTGGAATGCTTGGGGAGACAACACTTATAGTTGCTACAGATGTTCATCTGAGTTAGGTAAAAAGCATTTCAGTCTGCATTGTATCAGGAGGTTGGGAATGTCTTACAAGAGAAAGATGGAAGAGGATGTCAAAGTTAATACCCGAAGCACTGGAACATGGATTGCATGATAAGACAAAAAAGAGGCAACATATTAGCTCTGAAAACAGAAATCATGTCATGTGACTGCAGTGCTTGGCATAGAATATGACTGAATGTAATACTCTATTGGCATTGTCTGAATGATCTAGTTGAGGAAATGGCATCTCTTGGCATCAATGGAGTAGGTACTCCTAATGTAAACTTCAGGATTTCCTGCAGAAAAATGTATCACGGACAATGGTCAATAGCTCTTTAGCAATATGTTTAAATATCACATTCAGTAAAAGATAAGCTGTGTCCCATTGCCAGTGGCTGGGGGAATATGAAAAAGCTAATACACACCTGCCCCTTTTGTTTGTTTTTCAGCTGATATTTGGTTGGTCAATTAGAGAAACACAATCTGGGGCTTGAAAGGGTTTTGGTCTGTTCTAGGAAGTTCTTATCTTTCTAAATGCTGGCTTCCAGCTAGGCTGGCTGGAGAATTCTGGGAATTGAAGTCCACCAGTCTTAAAGTTGCCAAGTTTAGGGATCTCTGACCTAGACTAATAGAATAAATAAAAGTTAGGAAAAACTGGCTATCACTACCCATCCCTTTTGTTTTCAAGTTAATAATCTTAGATTTGTTTGTTTTTATAAAAAAAATCTGAACTCTGGGTACTACAGATAATTCTCAACTTATAACAGTTCATTTAGTGTCTTCAAAGTTGCAACAATGCTGAAAAAAAGTCTGATTACTGTTTTTCATACTTACAATCATTACAGCATCCCCATATCACGTGATCAAAATTCAGATAATTGGCAACTGATTCATATTTATGACAATTGTAGTGTCCCAGAGTCATTTTCGACCTTCTGATAAGCAAAGTCAATGGGAAGCCAGACTCACTTAACAGCCATGTTACCAATTTAACTGCAGTAATTCACTTAACAACTGTGCCAGGAAAGGTCATAAAATAAGGCAAAATTCACTTAATAATTGTCTCACTTTAGCAACAGAAATGTTGGGCTCCATTTTGGTCATAAATCAAGGGCTATCTGTAAAGCAAAGCTAACTGGCTTTGACCTAATTGTTTTTGCTTTTGAACTTCAACTGAAAGTTATGATGATGATGGTTTGACACTAGTTTTGCATACCTACCTGCCTGGGCATACCTACCTGCCTGGGCATGCTTCCCAAAATCTTTATTTGTAGATTGCAATATTGCAATATAAAGTCTTGAAACTGATTAGATAAGAATTGCACTTAAGGCTGACTGGGAAAATAAGCTCTAAATTCAGACACAGCAATGAAACAAAGTGAAGCTAAAATTCCATCAGTGAAACAACTGATTCTCAAGTCCTGCAAAGCTACACAGATCATGAAACTGGAACTTTGCTCACCTAAGCTAGAAGAACCTGGCCTTCTTCGTATGGTGTCAGTGCTCAATCAGAGAAAGTGGCACATGAGGAAGATTCTTAAGAGACTCTCTCCCTGCCTAAGTTCTAGAATGTCTCACAGTAAGATATGCATTTTAGAATTAGGTGTTTCCAAATATGACTTTTCTGCAACAATCCCTCCATGTTGGTCACAGAATTTAATGGCATGGAGACTTATTTTCATTTAACCTTCCAGTTTACTTCACACTTAAAAAAAACTTTTTATGTAATTGCAGAAAATATGATAAGGAGGGAAACAGAGGTGGTATTCAGCAAGTTGTGGCCAGTTCTGGAGAACCGGTAATGGAAATTTTAGGTAGTTTGGAGAATCGGTAAATATAACCTCTGACTGGCTCCACCCCCATTTATTCTCTGCCTCCCGAGTCCCAGATGATTGGGAGGAAATGGGGATTTTGCAGTAAGCTTCCCCTGGAGTGGGGTGGGAATGGGGTTTTAACAGTATCCTTCCCCTGCCAAGTCCAGCCAAGTCACGCACACAGAATTGGTAGTAAAAAAAATTGAATCCCACCACTGGCAGGATAGAATAGCTGCACATGTATTTTGATTGGTAATGCTAGGAACCCCTATCTAGAATCATCATTAGGAGCAAGAGATTGAATTGCAGCTCAGTCAAGAATTTGGAAGTTAATTTGGCTGTATATCTATGGACGTTTACCTCTTCTATATAACTAAGACTTTATGGACTAACTTCTCCAATTGCTTTATAAATACTCTTTGTAAATACATTTTTCTGTATAATACCGATTATTCATTTTAACTAACAAAGTTAATTATAATAAACAGGATCTTGGGGAAAGCATAGCTCTCTAATGGGATCTTGCTGTAACTCATAAGTCACTGAGCAGGAGAAAAACGTTGGAAGAAAAATCCTTCTTTCTACCACTTCACTCATCTCTATACCCCTTTCCCCTGGAGTCTGCATGCTCCAAGTTTCAACCTCTTTTTAAAAATCTGACTAGGTACCAATGGGGTTGAAGACAGAAGAAGCGAATTGCCAGACACAGTTTGAAGCAGCTGTTCAGGTCATTCAAGGCTTGCCCAGGAATGGTAAGAATCTCTTTGAGGATCTTCTCAGGTTACTTAGCTCACCTATAAGTGCTGGCGCCAAATGCAAAAGTTATCAGGCTTCTCTGAACAGCCACAAAGAATAAGAAGCCAGATATATAAATTCAGGAAAAAAAAGTTTAAACTCTTATTTTCCCCAGTTTGAGCAGTATATCTTGACATGCAGAATTCTACAGGTTTTTTTCATTCTTTACATGCAGCACTCAACTTGGTAGAAGAATGTAAACAATAATGGCTATTGGTTAATATTCAGAAAGAGCAACTGCATAGCAACCTGTGATTTAGCTTGAGTGACTAGGCCAGTGATGGCAAACCTTTTTCGCCTCGGCTGCCAAAAACACGCACGTGCGCGCTATCACACGCACTCAAGTGCCCACCCACATAACTTAATGCCCCCCTCACCTTCGGGGACTGCGCATTTTTGTGCAAGTCTTCCCTGCCACTCCCTGTTCTGGCTGCTTCCCCTTGGCTAACACCCAGCGAGGGGAGAAGTTGCTCTGCCACAAATGGGCGGAGACCTTGGTGGGGGATGCTCAAGTGTGCTCCTATGTCAAAAAACCTTCCCTTATCATTCTCCTGTGTATAGATTGATCCCTTTTTACTCCAGCAGGTGTGAATCTGGTTGCTAAATCCCTCCCACCCCCACCACCAAAGAGGATCCTGGACACCACAGTCAATAGACAAATGAGGAAGGGAGCTGCTGGCACAGGGGAAAGACAAGCGGCAAGGAAAGAATTGAATTCCAGCGATCAGGCAGGATCCCCTTTAATAGCACGGGGGAGGGGGGAAACAGAGCAGCCAGCAAAAGGGAAAGAAGCCCCTTTTCTTTCCTTGCCGCTTGTCTTTCCCCCATGCAGGCAGCTCTCTCCTCATTTCTGGTTTGCATTGGGCTGTTCTTCGCCCTTTGGAGGCTTCAGGGAATCCTCCGCAGAGCGAAAAACCACCAAAAATCAGGCTCTGGAGCTGACAGGGCAACGCCTCGCGTGCCCTTAGAAATGGCTCTGCATGCCACCTGTGGCACGCGTGCCATAGGTTCGCCATCACGGGACTAGGCTGATGTGTTTATATATTGACACCTATTTCCTCCTTATGAAATGTCCTAAAGAAAAAAAATATGTGAACTTAGATTCAGTTGTTTTATTTTCAGTATTGAACTATGGCTGGAGACAGATTGGTGTCAGGCACAATCAACCAGAATAACTGATGGATAGATCCAATAGATATTTTATTGTTCATCTATTAGAAAAATCTCACCAGACTCATGGGTCAGCAGGTATAGGCCTAATTGGTTTGACCTCAGATATTTCTTCCCCCAAATAGACTCTACATTGGAATGACTACTTCCCTTAGAGGTGCCCCTTCCCTTCAGCCAGTGGTTCCACCACAATTGGGAACCTTAAAAATGAAATCTTGCCATCAAATACCTCTTTCTATGTAGGGTCCTGAACATGTTCTCCATTTCCTCAGCTTCCTATCGGCCTTCGTATGAAGAAATGCTACGTTTTTATGGTTACTACAAGCAAGCAACAATGGGTCAATGCCAGATCCCAAGGCCAGGATTTTGGGATCCTATTGGCAGATATAAATGGTAAGAAATCCTGTGACAAATTCTCCCAGTTCTACATGAAACACTGTCTTTTCTGAGGTTTTGTTTGAGCTAAGCAATTTTGTTAGAATCCAGCCTATGATGCTATTTCAATGCTAGAGTATCTGCAAACTAATACATAAGCTTACCCAATTAATATTGTTCAATTTCACTGGATCCAGTACAAAACTGCTACTTTTGATCTAAAAAAGTTCTATAGATTTGGAGAGTGAAAAAGTCGATGTGTTGTCTGTATCAGCCAATAAGTTAATTGCAGAAAAGTGCTGTTTTGTTTCATCCTTGTAAAGAAATTACATACATGTAATTTCATCAAGAAACAGGGCTTTCTTTGAAGCTGCCCATTTGGAACAGCATTATTTATAGAACAGGACAAAATAGGTGGGGATGACATCATCCCAAAAGCCCCACCCCTTTGGCATATACAAAAAGTGGGACTTTATTCCCAAGATGCAACTGTCATCTTATCTATTTTGACACTGCCTCTCTCCCAAATACCACTGATTTTGACTATAGACTAGAAGAGCTAAAAGGCCTCTTCTGGAGTTTCTCTCATAAATTCTATAATTTTGTTATTTTTATCATTGTCACTTCTATTTTTTAACTGAATTGGATCCAGACTTAATCTTGATATAGATTCATTATTAATCTAAATCATATCAATGTCTATTAGAACTGCTTGCAGAGCCAATCCATTTTTAAATTTTTATAATTGTTTTAAATAGAGTCCTCCGCTTGAAATGTTCAATCTGGACTGTAAATATTTTAAAGTATTCATGAAATTGGAGTAAAGAGAATATGATTCATAGCATACACAAACTAATGACCAGTCATTCTGAGTGATTAACCCTAATGCTCACACATAAGAAATCCTTAAGAATGAACCATTATGAGAGATTCTGAATTTCTAACTAGTTCAACCTATGGCAGGTTTTTCTTTAATGAAGCTCTTGCCCAAGATAAGAGATATTTTGGGGTTTTGGCAGGGATGCCTGGAAAAGCTTGGGAAAAATGACCAAAGAGGAAGCCATGGCTGCTTATATTATGGAAATGAAGAAGGCAGCCCAGAAGGTAAATGGTGCAAAATATTAATGTCAGTTGGTTGGGCTTTGGATGAGGTTGTTGTGGGAACTCCTTATAGTGAGGAGTGTCACTGTAAGTGGGCTGCTAAAAGATGCAAAGTGGAGAAGACAAGAAAGAAACGACAGGAAACTCAGCTTGAATTTATGTTTAAGGACTTAAAATTCATACAACTAAATTTATATGATATATTTTATTTGGTTCTAACTATATACTTACTACAAACATGCTAATTATTATAACGTAATAGCTATAACCCTGTTTCCCTGAAAATAAAACCTATTCTATAAATAAGCCTTAGCACAGTGATGGCAAACCTTTTAGACACCGAGTACCCAAACTGCGCGCACACGCATGCCCAGACTGAAAGGGTTAGGATTGGATGGGTGCGTACGTTCGCAGGCATGCACGCATGTGCAGCAGAGACCCAAAGACCAGCTGGCCAGCAGGAGGCGGGGTATCCCAACACCGGCAGCGTGACAAGAGGTAAGATCTTTTTCTTTTGTGAGCTTCTGTTTTGTCGTTAGCAGAGAAAGAGAAGCTCACGAAAGAAATGCCACGGAGATCTGACCTGGGGCAACAGCATGCGCACCACCTCTGGCATGCGTGCTATACGTTCGCCATCATGGCCCTAGCATGTTTCTTATATATGGGCCTAATATAAGCCCTACCCTAAAATAAGTGCTACTTAAGAGTCTGTGCAGCCTCTCACACCATTCCATCTGATTGCTCGAGGTGCTTCAGCTAGGAGGCAAGGCAGGGGGACGTGGAGCTGCCACATAAGCTCCACACCGGCTTACATCAGGGCCTTCACAGGCAGGACATCCATGCCCAACATCTGCCTCATGGTGGCAGCACTGACAGCCATTTGCAGCAGGAGCCCATGTGGCCGCCAGCCCACTTCTCCTGCTTGCTTGTGTCTGCAATGGAGCAGGAGGCCACATGGAGTGTTGGTGCCATGGCTGCAAGGTGAGGCAGTTGTTGGCGCTTGGGGGACCTAGCTGGGGAGCCCTGAAGTAAGCCAGTGGGGCCTGTGGGGTAGCTCCGCCCATTCACACACAGCAGCACCGCATGACCTCCTGCCCCGCCATAAGCAAGGAGAAGTAGTGGGCCTCCCATACATGAAAAAATAAGACACTCCCCTCAAAATAAGCCCTAATACTTATTTTGGATGCCAAAAGAAAATAAGACCCAGTCTTATTCTTGGGGAAACATGGGTGCATACTAATATTTACATGCTTAATTAGAAAGTATTAGCAGAATTCAAGTTTGGAGATTTGTATTGCAGGCAAATTTGTGTCATAATTACTTAGAAAAAATCATTGCTTCTTTTTCCCTACTTCAAAGATAAGTCGTTGTCTGGCCAATTTAGTGAAATATAACTAATTCTAAAAATATTTAAATGGAAAACAAGCAGGGAGAAAACTTCTCAGGTAGGTACCCATCTATGGGTTCCACCACAAAACCGCGGTCGACAAAAGCACGCTCGACGAAAGCGCGTACATGATGTCATCACAGCGCGACGAAAACATCGCGCTGTGATCGGTAAATGTAAAATTTAAGCGAAAACCTTACCCTAACCCCCCAAAACCTAACCCTAAACCTAACCCTAAACCTAACCCTTAACCTAACCCTAACCCTAACCCTTAACCTAACCCTAAACCTAAACCTAAACCTAACCCTTACCTTTATGTGAATCGACTTGCTTTAATTTTATTTTTATTTCAATTTTTAATTTTTTTCGTCGCGCTGTGATGATGTCACGTACGCGCTTTCGCCGAGCGCGCTTTTGTTGACCGCGGTTTTGACGGGTCACGCCCATCTATGAGCTGGAATGCCTTTATTGAGTGCAAGTAGAGATCCTGCTATTCTTTTATGAAAATCAAGAAGGCATCTCAGGAGCCTCCCAGTAGGTCATTTCAACAATGCAATCACTGCAACTGCTTCCAGATCTCTCAAGGGGATCCAGAGAATGGTGTTGTACCACCTGGGATCACTTCTAGACTTTCTGGCAGGTGATCAACACTGTGCCGATGGACAAATCTTCGGAGGATATGTTTGTATACTTTGAACCCCTCTATGAAGTGATCCATGATATGCCCAGACCGCCCGAATCCTTCTTCAAGAAAAAATCAGGTATGATTGTGGGTAGCAAAAGCAGGTTGAGAGGGAGGCATTTGGGATACTTTCACCAGCAGCTGTGATTAGATAGCTATACGCTTTTCAATTCAAGATCTACAACCTAAAGTTAAAAGTAATCTTACTCTCTCCTTTCTTTTGGCTCCTTGACTTCTGTGTGAAGTCACTTTGCTGGTGCTTCCATGTAATTTAGTTCACAGAGTATTTTCTTCTTGGGAATTTAAAGATCTTGTTAGACACGTTTGGTTACGGAAGATTGGTCCTCTAGGCCAGGGAGTTTCAACTAGATGGTTGTTTTTTCCTTCTTGTTTTTGCCTCCCAAGCCCTAATCTTAGATACTTTGACCTATCTCCAAATCAGTTTGGAGTAGAGCAGTCAAACCTGCTTTGGCCTGTTTGGGACTTTGGCAGAGGAAGCAGCCCTCAAAAGATCTACAGAGCAGCTTGGGATCAGTAGGCTTAAAAGGAGATTTGGCCTGTCCCCAACTCTTAACCTCTTCCTGCAGTGATGAACAAAAGCCACTCAATGGCTGGGTTAATAACACATTTTGCAGGTTAGTTAAAGACCTACCAGGTATTCAATCAAAACATACAATATTACATTTGGTTAGGATTAACTGTGGTGAATATTTTGTAGCTGAACAATACAAATCAAGCTTGTTTGGCTTATGATTCAGGATATTGTGTGAACCCAGAAAAGTAGATAATCTGGTTTTTAAAAAGTTGTGTGAATATAGCCAGTGGTGACTTCCCTAATGTATAGTTCAAGCTAAAATAGGATGAGTAACTCATGCCTCACTGTGCAACACTGCAAACTGGTTTTGGGATAAATTCATGGGGTCCTTAACAAAGGGTTCTCTGCTATCCAGTGGGCTTGGCTGCAGTTTATATTCAGCAGTGTAGCAGCAGACAATTAAATGTGAAGAGCTAACATTTCCCAAAGTGAAATAACTTTGGAGACATTGTGGGTAAAATAAAGTAGCAGTTTGCCTATCTGGCTTTCAAGAACCTGTGAGATCATGAACTTGCCAGGGTACCAGGACTGTGAAGGTGCTTAGGAGTGATCTTTTCCCATGCTAAGTTTGAATGCCATTTGTATTAGCAAAATACAAGAAAACTGCCCAATCAAATTGGCTGCATGGCTTGGCACTATGTGTTCTCTGCCTTTGAGTGGCATCTGATATAGGCCATCTGAGCTATTCATAGGAGTGGCTCCCTGCTACGCCTCTATTTTGGTCTATATACGCTACTACACTGTTTCTGTTTATATTGTTGGTAGCTCAGCAAATGGCTGAGCAATTCACCTTCTCTGATGTAATCCAAATCACAGGATGGTTATGGGGGAAATTGAATGATTACTAATTTGAGTTCCTTGAAGGCAGGATATAAATCAAATAACTAAAATAAAGATCCTCAAACCCAGTAAATAGCGTATCTCAAAAATCTTCCATGAGTACAGATCCAGTTTTTCCTAAGCCTAATTTCTTTTTTGGTAGAAATACATTTGTTTATTAAAAATTTCACTGTAATTTTGCCAAACAATTGAGAAGAGAGCAGTAGAAGCAATTTCTCATTTTAGTTATATCCTTTTTGTTTCCTTAAATTACTCAAGGAAGAGTGAAAGTCTTCATTTAGCTCAGTGGATGGTCTTTTCTAGAGTCACTCTTTTTTATGTATTCTAAAAGCTTTTCTGCTAAAATAAGGCAGCCAGTGTTGGAAACATTGGGTAAAGCATTAATCTCAACTATAGACGCCCACAAGATGATTTTGATTTTGTAATTCTTTCAGTCTAACCTATTTCTTAACTTCATTGTAAGAAGAAAATTAGAAGGCAGTTCTGTGCATGCTAACCTCAGCTCCTGAATGAAAAGTGTGGTAGGCGTCTCCAACCATTTTTAGGAACTTTATTTTCCAAGCATTAAAGAAGACATGAAAAGATCTTTACAGTCAAGATGCTGTTTCTGCCCAGACTGTTCCATACTGTAAGAGTAGTTAAAAAGCTCTTTGCTTGCTCTGTTCTGTGACTACTCCCTTCTCTGCTAATCATCCATTTTAAATCAGGAGGTTGTCTTGGAATTCCAGAGACCTGGAAACAGTCATACCCAGTTTGGATATTATTTGCCTTATGGCCATTAGCTTCAATAAATAATACTCTTGTGCTTAAATTAAATTAAAGCATGGTATGAAGCAAGACTTTGCAAATCATTTGGCAAGAACTGGATTGGTTCCTCAAAGCTTCCAAGGCATCATATATGATCAAAGACTTGGCACAAGTTGTGGCTGTCTTAAAGTTTCTGGGCATGTGTGTTTAGATTTGAAATCCATCTTTGCTGAGGTCCCTAAAATCAGCCATGTCAACCTTTCAAGGAGCTGGAGATCTTATTGTCTTTGAAGTACAGATTCAGCAAAGCACTTCATTGAATCATTTCTATAGGAATAGCAAAACTAGACCTAATCCCAAACCTAACCCTAATACCAAAGATGTAGTGCTGATAGGGGAAAACTAATACACCCCAGGCTTTTAATGATGAACATTGAAAAACATTCTATCCTTTTGCAGTTAATCCAGACTCAGAGACTGCGTCTTTGCAAAACAGTTCATTAGATGGACTTGCTGAAATCTGTCCAAATTCACCAGTATATGAAGAGTGGAAGCAAACAGGCAAGCACATCTCATAAAATGCTATAATGGGGGGATATTTGTACCCTGTGTATACATGTATTCCCAGTAGATAATGTGCATTCCTTTCACTTTATGTTGAATAATGCAGTCATTTTTACTGTAGGATCATTGTTACAGAGTGAAGCTACTTCATGCCAAGGGAGAGAGAAGATTTTGCATTCACTGCAAACATTCACCCCTAAGAGGAAATTATATTTGTATAATTAGAAGAGCTGGTAGCCTGCTTCCTGCTCCTTATGAATTCAGTCATTAAGAACTAAGTGTGTAGTGAGTGGGTGAAATTACTTCCTTCTTCATAAGATGTCTTTTAAAATAACCAAAGCTAAAATTTGTTGACATTTCCATTGTGAGAAAGAGATAGCTGATTTGAAGTAGGGGGCTCTTTCCTTCTTCCTCATCATTCCACTTTCTAAAAACTAATGTCATAAATTAGAAATCAGCCTATTGGCTTATTGATGCCCAGCTTGATTCTTGGATCTTAATGTGCTGCATATAATTTAAGTAATTGGATCAAATCAGACTTCTGTGTATTATTTTCCTTCTCTTCTGTAAATCAGATAAGATACCTAGGCAATTCAGATTTATTTTTCTTTATAAAATGTATATCCACTGCCATTACCAGACTCTTGTGGATCTGACATTTTGCAAAGCCAATTTAAATAATATGCCCACAAAAACAGTTTTAAACATTTAAAATTTTAGTAAGGTACTAAAGCGTCCCTTATTGGTCCTAATTTATGGGGAAAGGCATAATACCTGATATCTGGCTGTTCAGGTTTTGTAAGATACAATCACTTGGACATGTATTCACAACGACACATATCTGTTCTGTTTTTTTTCTTATTCTACTTTATTATTTTTATTCTGAGCCATTCTTCTCTTGCAGGATCTGGCCTTACCAACAAAGCTATAAAGAGCAGCCAGGTGACAAATGATTCAGAGAATGGGGTGTTCTGTGATACCCTAGAACAGGTGGAGACTCACCAGGTGATGAAATGATACAAGGAATGGAAATGAAAAGAGAAGGAAGAGGCTTAATCTAAAAACTCTGCCTTTAAACACAGCCAAATGGTCTATGCCAAAATGCTGCCATCCAGCACATAAGTTGCTAGAAAAGTATTGGATTGTCCTTCCTGTTGATAACTATTCTGCTTCAGTAACAAAGGTAGTGGTTGTAGTTGGTGGTATTCTGGATATTTGAATTTTTTAAAAAGCACTTGGTGGATTCTTCTGTTTCGTTTCCCCTTTCCACCAAGCATTCTCATGAGATGGGCAACTGTATAAATTTGATAAATAAATAAGTAAACAGCTCAGGCACAGAGATGGCCCATGCTGCTTGTCAATTTGTCTAGCACTTTTCTGAAAGAGTGCTAAATCCATGTAAAAAATAATCCAGCTGCCAAATTACAGGAGAAGCCACAGATAAAACAGGAAGGAGCCATCAATAATAAGCAAACTCCATCTCAGCTACTGCTGCCATCAAGTGGCCATGGCCAGCAGCTCCTAGAAGTGGCCTATTTAGTGGGTAAAATGGCACTACCACAACATCAAAATTACCTTTTGCCAGAAAGAGTGAATAATGCTTCACTTGTTGAAGGGTTCTGACAAGCCTTAGCTTAAAAAAACAAATCTATCCCTCTTCCAGAAGAATATTAAATTTGTGTTTATAAACTTGTACATACCAGAAGTCTCTATAAGACTTCACAAGTGCTTCAGAGAGCCCCCAGCAGGCAATACATGGGCATTGCAAGGCCTTTGTGTGTCCAGACCCTCCTGCAGCCCAAGCAAGAATGGCTTTGGAGGGTAATAACCAGCGGCAAGAAGGAAGTGGATATACCTCCGTGAACCTAAAGAAGACAGTAGAAACTCTGCAGATCCCATTCCTGACTGCACCAGTAATCATATCACTGATGGATCATATCCACATCAAAAATTGTGTCAGCAAAAGAGGAAAAATATTTTAAAACTAGAACAATTAAAGGCAGCTTTAAGTTCTTGATGTGAAGGAAATAAAGATTATGAAGACACAGCCTAAAAATGGTCACTGAGCCAAGGCTGTAGCACAGTTAGGAAACCATGAGGAAAAGTCCTCTGAGTAGAGTATCCTGATCCTACACTGACAAATTCAATTGTTTAGGGAGGTTGCAATAAATCATATTCTGTTCTCCCATTGTCAGTTTTGCTATATCTAATCATCTACCGGTATATCACAGAACTAATTTTGCTGTGATCAGATTCTTTTAAAAGAATCTTTTAATCATCTCATGGTCCTAAGCCATGTTTATCTAAAGATCCATCTTTTAAGGACATGTAATGAGTGACTTGTGTAATTTGAGCTGTTCAATCAAACTAAAGCAAAGTTCTTTTCTAGATACATGAATTTAGGTAAAATAAAATGTGCAACAGTATCAAAAGTGTTTTTTTTTAGTACATTAAGGCTTGCAAGATCTGAACAGATGGACTGAGACAAAACCACTTGGTTGTTTAATTTTCACTTACTCACACACATATAAACCGTGAGATGTAAACTTTCAAAACCTATTTGAAATAACAATAGGGAGATAAAAGGCATCTCATGTTTTGGCTTTTAATATTTTGTCATTAAAAAAATGGGTTACAAGTTTATTCCCCCTACAGCATTGCTAAGGAGGGTCAATCATCCCACTTGAACACTTGGCCTCTCAGGCACCCTACTCCAGATACAGTAGCTCTAGGATTATATTATGACTTTCCTCTCCACGGAATAACATTTGTAATCCCTTAAGGCACTTTGTAAGGTTTCCAAAAGAAAACTAGGTAGTTTCCTAACAATTAATCTTCATTTTAATTTGAATTGGAGAGAGGAACACTGTAGTAATTAAAGTGGCAAAAAAAAAGATTCTAATTTTTTACTTTTTCTTTCTCCATAGGCCAGAAGGCTATCAGCCAAACAAAGCTTTCCCTTGAGCAACCCTCCCAGGAATCAAGCTACAGAGAAAACAGGATGTAAGTTTTAGAGTATCCTTAGCTGGAAAAGGAAGATAAATAGAAGGGACACCTAATCTTTTGCTTCAGAAAGAAAGCACAGAGACAGGTCTAGGACATGCCTATAGGTGTTGTGGCTCATGCATTTGGCAACAAAATCCTATGTTTCATCCACGAGTGCAAACAGGTCTGAAAAAGAATTAATTTGCTTTCATTCTGAAGTAATGAAGGCAAAGATAAAATGTGTAAGTTTTGCAGAAAATATATGTTTTTACTACTAAAAGGACATCCACAAAATATATTCTGTTGTGTTTCCACTGTAGAAATAATCCTTGAGAGAAAAGATGAGAACAAAAAGTAAATAGGGTTAGATGTTGAATTGGGCAGCCATAAAAGTCAGTTTTCAGAAGGAGTGAGGTACAAATGAGAGATATTGTAGAATTCTGGCCAGTTATTTTACCACATATTTCAGCCAGAGCCAATCAGGAATATGACCAACATCTATTATCCACCTCCATTTACATATTAATCAGAGGGGAAAAAAGGGAAATTATGCCAAGGCTAAGATCATTTGGAACTAGAACTGAATCTCACAAGCTGTATTTAAATATGATGAGAGTAGAGTTTGGAGTTTGAATGAACCATTATGTGAAAGTCCTTTTCCATTCAGTATCACTCCTATAGACAGATATACACAAGTTTTCCTTCCTGATTTGATAATTTACTACAAGGAGTATTTTATTTGAAAAATGTAGTGAAAATATGTCTTTCCAATCTAGGATCTTTTGTTTAAAGAAAGGGTGGGAAACATGCAACAGTAATTCCATTCCAAAACCAAATTACAAGTTTTACTCGGCAGGGGTTGATAATCATATCCTGTGTTCTTATTCTACTTCTTGATGGACTCATCTGATTCTTGTAGCAATAATATCTTCCAATTTTCTTTCCATAAATATTTTAGGACAATACTTTCCACAATTTTCAGTTAGCAGAACATTCAAAGCACCTAGACAATACACAGTTGGGGAAAAGCATAATAGAAAAATTACTACTCAAAACAGGCATGTTGTATACCAGCTTCTAAAATCTGTTCTAGGCCATTTGTAAACTGAACACCAGAACTGTATAGCAGTCAGATACCAACCACTAGTCATTACCTCCTGGAGGAAATGTAGCATTGTTCAAGAAGCTGGAGATGGTGGTTTTCTGGAGCACAATATAGAAACCCTACATACAGGTATCCATTAGTGTGATTGGGCTGCCTTATACAGCATATGGTTCAACTGATAATACAGAGATATCCTTTCTTACCTTGGTTATGTTGGAGAATTCTCTTGATCAGCTCAAGTCTTGACCTTGTGGAAGATTAATTAGTAACATACTAGTGTAGATTTAGCTGGTCACTATTCTTCCCTTCAGTTTTTTTGTCACTCCCCTTGTCTTGTTTTTATTGATTGCCCTGTTGTTTGATTAGCTTAAAAGATTAGGGATTGTGAACAATGTTTCCTTTATTTTCATAACTTCCAAACAAGATTTGGCTGCCCTTTTCAGTGAAATACATGAACTTGTCATTAGTTTTGATACATTGGAATCCCTTATATTTAAGCTATCTACCCTATATTGCAAGAAAAAACCATGTAAGCCCCCTAAATGTTATTCTGCGCCTTCCCATCTAATTCTGATGCACAAGGATAGATATGGTATCCAGGCAGATTTAAATTCTGGGACCTCTTCATTTAAAATAGCGAGGTCTCATTATCCATTTTACTTTATTTTTTTGCTACAGCTTCAATGGATCTTTTGGGTTCATCTCATCTTATACACCTGCAGACTGGCCTACCTGAGATCAGCCAAAACCCTGAAGCCACCAGGGAGAGCCAGATAAATGTCTTGACCCAGAAGGACATGACCTTGCAGGTGATGAACACCATTCAAGCTTTGCAGCAGGATATGAAAAAAGTGATGGAAAGACTCAAATGTTTGGAATCATGGGCAGCTTTGCAGGTATATTGCTTCCTCTAATAGCTGACTAGCATGTTGGTTTATAAAAGTACAAATCATTGTTGAGCTCAGAAAGTTCTAAAAGCAACATATAAAAAATGAATATGTGGGAAACAAGTTGCAAATCAAAAGTCTTGGAGTTCTTGCACGGAGATTTTGAAAACTGCAGTTCTACTAGTTCAACCCTAACTCTGTTTGATGGAAATAGGGTGAAGAGAGGGAGGGGAGTAACAAAAGGAAGTATGGGGAGAATAACAGGGAAAATTTAAGAATTACAATTTTAGAACTGTAAGCACAGATTACTCCACAATAAATTCTTTATAAACTAATTCAGCCTTAAAAGAGCTATTGTGCTGAAGGGCTGCCCACATTAAAGGTAAAGGTTCCCCTCACACATATATGCTAGTCATTCCCGACTCTAGGGGGCAGGGCTCATCTCCATTTCAAAGCTAAAGAGCCAGCACTATCTGTAGACGTCTCGGTGGTCATGTAGCCGGCATGACTAAATGCCGAAGACGCATGGAGCACTGTTACCTTCCCACCAAGGTGAGACATTGGTTGCACCAAGACTGCCCACATTCCATTAGCTTATTATGATAAAGTCCTAAACTACAGTAGAATCAAAATGCAAATAGAAGATCCTAACTTTCCTCCAGTACTGTAGTGCTGGAACTCTTGATATCTTCATCAGTACAAGCAGTCCACTGCTCATATATTAATATCTTTAGAAAAGAATCTGATATGCATCAAAGCTTTATCTATTGCTCTGGAGGAAAGTGGGCAAGATCCTTTTAGCTGGGTGCTTTAGGGTTCCTGAATTCACTTTCCAGGGAGCTTTTTTAAGCTGACTTGCATAGGGCCACAGTGGTTTAGCTATAGCTGCTGAATTCTGCTTTGTATTATTATTCTGTTTTGTTCTCAATATACTTCTGAATCCTCACCTTAGGTCCCAATAAAGCCACTGAATCTATCTTTATTTCTTTCTGTCATACCTAGCCCTCTCCTCCTCCAGGTTTTATTGATGTATCTGTACTGTTATGATCATTGTTATTTTATAACCCTATTGACTATATGTATAAGTTGATAATTGTCTGGTTTCACACTAACTAGCAGTGGCAAAATCTGTTAAGAGAAGAAAGCAAGTGTTTCCGTAAAAAAACACAAAATACTTATCTTTAAAACAAATACAAATAAACGAAAAGGCATCTGCCGTAGTTCACATGTTTACATAAATGGATATAGCAAGAGTTATAAAATTACATAAAATGTCAAGGATTCTGATCTTAAAAACATTGTTAAAATTTTACATGTATCATTTCCCATCCATGTATAAAGGTACCCCCAATTATTCTGATATTTGATATACATTTTCAACTTAGAAAATAGAATGAGAGAGGAGTAGTGTGCTAGTTGTTACATCCATCTTGATTTTTCTGTCTTTCAGCCCCATACGTCCATGTTGAAACCTTGCCCTCCATCCAAAGTACCTGATACAAAGGTATAGTGACTCATGATGGGAAATTTTGCAAATACATTTATACAAGCATCTAGATGGTACCAGATAATTGGCTGCTAATTCTGAGAGGAGTGCAGCCTTAAATGAGAAATATAGACAGCAATAGTAGTAAGGCACAAGTCTCCTCTAAGCTTATGTCAAAATGTTTTCTGTTAGTATTAACATATTTATTCATCCTGTTCCACACCATCAATTCCCATTAAACAGTAAGAATATTTGATTAATGAATAAAACTTCAAAAGTAGTTACTTTCACTTATTAATCATTTTTATCTGAATCTTAATCTGAGAAATATTAAATGGATTGGAGAAAGCAGATCTCCTGGATTTCTAGAATCCAGGAAGGTTGACAAGCACTTCCAATTTTTTCTTTAGTCTCTGCCATTTTTTTTTATCTCACAGGACCTGCCAAGTTGGCCTGTACATCTGTCTCCTCATACCTGGCTTTTCTTGCTGGCTTGGCCTTTTGTTGTCCAGTGGCTGCTTTGGTACTTCCAGAGACAGAAGCGATGAATCCCTTATTGTCATTTAATAATAGTCAGGGAGAAAAACCTCCTGAAAATGCCTCAAAAGTTGGGTTTGAACTTCAAACATCGGACTCCTACCATTTACCATGCTTTTTCATATTTATCAATCTATCTTGCTACAATCCTGTGGTTGAGAGTGGAAGATACTTTAATTTTCTACAACTAAATGTAAACTAAAGATAAAGGTGAGTATAAAGAAAAATTTAAGTACAGATCCTTATTCCATCAGCATGAAGAAAGGTGCAAAAGGAAATTGATGCTTTGACAATATATATCCCGATAAGCCAATGGACTTTAACTTTGTGGTGGTTTTCTAAAAAAGGAATCTTGAACTCTGCTTTGATTCTGAAATTGAATGGCATGGGAATGGTAAACAAACTTTTAACTAGTCCAGGAAAGGAACATTTCTGCTACCAGCTCCCCAATATGTAAGGAGCAATGAATGTGACAATGTCTTTTTTTTTGTCGCAGACAAAAAATTATTATAGCTTAAAACTATAAACTAAATTATAGCTGTGGAAAATAGTTTCATATTAAATAAACTGTGGTGTCTTTATTTGTCTATAACACCTACTTGTTCAAAAACAAAACAAAATAAAAAAATAATTCCTAAGAAGAGATTTCTGTTCATTTGCCTGTGCTTCCTCTTTCAACCAAGGGATCAAAAATTGGGAATACTGGTCAAGGGCCTAATGTGAGCATTGTGCTATTGAAATTATCACATAATGGAGGGAGTCTTTCACATTTGCTACTATCAGGTTCTTACCAGAGATTCTAGAAACAAGAGATTGACAACTTGATATGGTAATGACTAATCTCATACCTCAACTTAAAATCAGAGGCCAGAGAATCCCCCTGAGAATGAACAGAGATGCCTTTCCCTCAATACTAAAGTTCCTTACTATGTGTCTCTTCATTTTGGAAGCAATGCATATAGTTAACATTAAAATATCTGCATCCAGTTCTGAGGATTACAAGAAGATTGCCGACAAAAATGAAATATATTCAGAAAGACATTTATAATGACACCAGAAAGTGAGAGATCCAATCAAATCCAGTAAGGCAAATCTGAAGAAGTTATTTGGTATATCTCACCTAAAGAAGAAAATATTTTAAATCTCATGTAGCCAAAGAAACATAATTATCATATGTTGCTCAAGAGGATTGGACCTGTACCAACTATTTCAAATGATAAGAAAAGATTCTGAATAAATATCAGGAGCTAAGTACAGCATTGTACAAGTAGCCTCCCCACTCTAACTTCCAAACAACTCTACATGCCACTCTCATCTCGAGAGATTATCTCAGTTTTCTGAATAGTAAATCTGAGTTGAACTGTTTTGTTTGTAACTCATAGTTAACAGCAGTGGAGGGCCACAAGTGTTCTTGTGATGCAAGCTGCCTCTGTTCTCTTTTTTCCACCCCTAGGATACATTTTCCCTGTGATGATGAAAAGAATGATACTTTAAAACTCACAAAAATTGTATTATTTCTAAAATACTATAACTGGTTATTATTGTTTTAATTATCCCAATCTGGAAAAAAGTGGAAAAACCTCAATCTTATAACATGTTTCCAATGTTATATGCTGTTAAATCAATCGCCTCTGGTTTATGGCTTAGCATGTGGGTTAACCCAACTATTATAGTTAACCATTTTTGGCTTAGAAAAGAATTAGTTGATTTTTTAATGGCTTGGGAGCTGCATTTTTAGTTGTTAATATTTCAGGAACATCTAATCACAGATGTTTTGCAAATCATGCACTAATATATCAAAATGGGCAGAACTGAAATGTTTTGCCCTTCTATGCAAGTTTCAAATAGATTTCAACTAAAATATGTGATATAAAGCTTAGCAATACCAAAAGATACAAAGGCTGTGCTCTCAAAAATCTATCTTTTGTGAATATATTTCAGCAATATGATATTTGGGAAGCTCACCACTAATTTCCAGACATTTGCAAACCCAGTTCAAGTGTATAATCATGCATGGCCCTTGCAATCTGATTCTCCAATAAATTTGCAGAAAATGGTTTGGAATGTTTTCATAAATTAGTCATCTACAAATTGAAGGTGTGGTGACAATGAACAAACAAATATGAGCAATGCAGTGCTTGCCCCTTCAGAGCTATGTTTTAGGCTGAAAAGTGCTGGATAAGGTCTACAAACACTATAATGAAGCTGCAGCGCTCCGGTTTGGGCTACAAAGGCTTTTTGCAAAGATGGCAAAAGGCTTTGGAAACGGAGGGAAAGCTTCAGACCTTCCATCCATTTGCAAAGCCTTTTGCTGCAGAACTCATCCAGGTCTCCGTTTGCAGTGAGCAGAGGCCTAAAGTACCATTAGAACACAATAAATCAATAACATGAGATCTCAAGCTACAGATCTTGTAGTACTTTAGGTCTCCGTTCTCTGCATACTCACCAAAGACCTGAGGTACCAAAACAGGCGAAGAAAGTAAAAGATCTCTAGATCTTCGTAAGGTGAGTACAGTATCCACAGCCTAGTACCTATGAAAACATGCTGTGTGGAGTGGGTGAGGGGAATAGGCAGGGTGAATGTTGCAGAGGTTCTGCAGTTGTTGGTAAGGGTGAACAACTGCTGTGGTGCTGCAACATTCAGAGTTTCGGGACTAGGGGGTGCTTATTGCATAACTTCGAACGTTTGCTAAGGGAATGTTCGTAACCCGGGGATTACCTGTAGTTAATTGCAATCATATGCATTCATTGCAATCTGATAGGACAAAAGCAGTGACAGAGTGGTTTTCTTCTACATAGGTAGGAACTTTCAACAAGTGTTCTCTGCTCTCTCTGGGCAGATAGCCTTGTTGCTTACTCTGGTCTGTGGTCCATATAAACATTTTACTGGCATATCAAAAATGTTATCTTGTAAATACAAAAGATTTTTGAGAACAACTATTTTTTGAGAGTGCTGCAGCATGCACTTGGAAACCTAGATGTGCTCTTATCCCCCAAGTGTTGTCTACTCCTGGAATAAACATATACTAATATCTTATTATGAACTGGGAAGAAGGAGGGAGTTCATAGAAGAAAAACTGGTAATCTGCCTCTCTCTAAAAAATTATTTAGGAAGGTCTCACCATTAACCATTTCTCACTGGACAAGCAGGAGAGTTGGAACAGGAAGTAATCTGTAGTAAATATAATATTTATATTAAAGAGCCAGTTTGATGTAATAGTTAAGATACCAGGCTACAAACTGGGAGACCATGAGTTCCAGTTCCTTCTAAGACACATGCCAGCTGACCTTAGGCCAGTCACACTCTCAGTCCTAGGAAGAAGGCAAAGCAAACCATTTCTGAAAATTACCAAGAAGACTGCAAAGACTAGTCCGGACAATCACCAGAGGTCAACTCTGATACACACTCACACATATATGCCTAATGTAAGAAGTCAGCAGATAAGAAGACCCTCAATCCAATTCCTGAAGCACTTGGTTTGGTTGGCAACTGTATTTTTAACTCAAAAGTGCATTTTCCTAAGGTTCATCCAAGATCTACAGTTCATAAATTAAATTTTTGGCTGTGGTCCAGCCTTTTAGAGTGGCCAACAACAAATTCTTACTCCCACTTAATTATTTCCTGAATTTTCTCTCTGATAAAAGGCCTAGGTAATTTGAGAAAACAATAAACGTTATATTTTGCTCAAGTCAGAGCATTCAAGTGTTTTAATATGAATATAGATGCATCCCAAAGCTTAGGGTAAAATTGCTACTGTAACTAAAACAATATAATTGATTTATTTTAGCCAACAATATAAAACAGAATTCATCATATTCTTTCATGGAATAAATTTTGTAAGGTGCCCTGGAAATATTTAAAAATTAATCCATAAGGTAATTATTAAACTAATTAATAGTGAGATGAAAATTTCAATAGTCAAAATATTGGTAATTAACATATGCAATGTACTGAACCTAAAGGGCCTACATGTTACTGTAGTCCTTAGGGAAAACTGTATGTCTACGTGGGCTTTGCAATCACATTTACTTTTGGTTGCCAAATGCATAGGACCTCTTTCAATAGAGATAGAGCTATTCCATAAAAAGGTGGTTTAACCTTAATGAGTTATGCCTGTGAGGCCCCATGAACAAAAATAAAGATATAGAATTACTTCTAAGCAGTTTCCATTAAGTTCCTCACCTATCTTACTAAATCTTACTAAACTAAGGCAATTATTTGCATTACTATAGATATACTCTGAGAATGGCTAGGGAAGTACCTTAATTCTCTTCTTTCTGACCAATTATCTAAGCTTTGCTATCTGTTTGTCCTCTGAAATCCAGATGTTATGCCTCACATAGCCAAATTTAGTCTACTTAGAGCATCCCCATCAATGGAAGTTAATCATTATATTATTTTTTAAAGACCCAAATCAAATAATCTATCTCCTACTATATTCTGCTAATGACTATTTTCAGAAATTTTAACAAAGTACATTACAAAGGTATCTAGAATCACCTTGCTACATAGACATTAAAAATGTATACTAATTTATGGAATTTCACATCTTTCCCTATGCTAAATTGTATGGGTTGTTGCTGCTGGCTATGTACAATTAAATCCAGTTGAGTTAGGGTTGCCAGCTCTTTATGTTCCTGTAGCTAACTAAGCCTTTTAATTGTAATTTGAGTAGTATTTGTTATAAAAAAAACTTAACCTGTTGATTTCTGCCCAGCAAACTCTTGTTGTGACCTAAGAGAACACTGGCCTGTTTCTGTTTTGATTTTCTGTGGCCATTTAAAAATCTTAGCTGATGTCACAGTTTCATTCCAACTTTGTCAATTCTGAAATGCAACTTTCTAAAGCTAGAGATCAGCTCTATCTGGATCTGGCTGGCCCTAAATGAAACTTCTTCCCAGCAACCTTGTCGATCATTTACCAGCACTGCACTAAGCAAGTGGCGGTAGTGCTAGGCCTTGGGATAACAAACTAAAAACCAACCCAGGAAAAACAAGGATTACATCTTGCATTCCCCTCCCAGTACAAAAGGACTCTTACAATCTGCAAGGGGGAAAAACAAGAAGACAATTGTAGGGATATCTTTTTAGTGGTGTTCCATTCTGTTTCTGATGTGTCTTCCGAATACAATGAAGGAACAGACTGTCCCAACAGCAGGCATCCAAATTTCAGGTTGCAGCTTAGAAGGGGGGAAAAATTCTGCTGTCAGCCATATAAATATTCATCTCCCTTGGAAAGCAAAATACAACAGATTCTCTGGAACTAGAGAAAAAAAGCATCTCTGCAAAAATAGAGCTATTTTTGGTTTATTAAAAAAATATTAAGAACCCATTCTCATCGCCTGCAAAAATTAGCTTTAAGCTAATTTGTTAATATTCTTATGTATATATCATTTAGACAGATGGCATTGTTATTTCCATTTTTTTACAAAATAACCAAGGATGATTGACTATGCAAAATAATCGTATACGCTGCTGTACAAAACAAGCAGTTTGCAGAGCAGAAAAATGACTTTTCTAACCCTATCTTTCAAGTCTCCAAACCACTTCTGTTGGTACAACCCCAAATTGGCTTGGTCCAAAGCTAAGGAAGAATGAGCTCTTGGCACATTCTGAAACATAAATATATTTATTTACTTTAAT